GGGGGGGGTTCAAGAAATCCTGATCTACATCAAAAGTGGGCATTGCCCTACCTATAGGAGAAGTTTGGTTTCATTGATGTGTATATTTGTTTGGTTATAGAAGAAATTCTCCATGTCTTTTAAAGAAACTGAATAAGGGGCACACATTTTATCTTCGATTTTCTCAAAACAGCATTTTTCGGGATAGCCCCCTTGTCCTTAAAAGCGACCAAATGATCACCTCATTCATACCCACCACACTCCTCGATCGCACCCTCTCCGGGCTTAAATTCCTCGACTATTTCTTATTGGGGTTTTTGACCGACTGGGTCTACAGAAACAACGCACAAACGACCGAAAAGTTGAAACTTAAATGTTGAACCCAGCACGTATATGACCGTATAGTGTTGCAAGTGCCGTAGAAATCTTACTAAAACTTAATGTTGATCCCAGGTCCAAAAAATCTATGGGGAAAGATGCTACAGGGTTATTTTAAAATATCAGTTTCGTATTCGAGTTTGTCTATCGAGAAATTGTCATAGAGCATACGTATATTTCTAAAATACACACAGCTTTCCTTGAGTTTATCTGGCAATGTTCAATTCATATTATACACTTATTGTTCTTCAATTCATATTATACACTTATTGTTCTTCAATGCATAAATACTCTTTTGTGATTGATATTCCAAGACGTTGCAACGTTTTGAGTTTCACCCATTTTTGGTTGAAAATCTAAAAACTTGGTACTTTCTTGAACAAGTCGGCAAAGAAAAATGAACAAATCCAGAGGATGCATGAAATGTTCAAAGAATTTACTGAAGCAACCCAAGACAACTTGATGAATGCCTCCATGTTTACTCATTCCCACACATTGCCTTGACAAACGACAGTGATGCCTCTGATCAAGCAAAAGGAGCTGTTTCCGAGCAGCTCATCAGCGGAGCTTGGAAACAACTTACGTTCTTCAGCAAGCAAATAAGCCCTCACCGAACAGAAATATAATGATTTCGACCGTGAACCCTCTACACTGCCTTGCCGTTTGACACTACGTTTTCTCTTAGAAGATAGACATTTTGCAGCATACACAGACCACAAACCCTTGGCAGACGTGCTTTCCAAGATCTCTGAACCGTGGTCAACAGCGTCTTCATCTCGCAATTCACAACTGACAGTCGGCATATTTCGAGCGAGGACAGCACCGCTGGAGAAGTCTCTCTCGCTCAATCAGCAATATGTGAGGGAGCGTGGTGGAATCAAGCTCTCGTCAAAATAATCAAGGTGAAGAAACTTGCATTTTCCCACAGTTTTGTGAATTTTCATCCAATTTTTTTTTGACACAACACCTTTCATGCCCTTTAAAGAACTCATATCTGTGTGGATTTTTTTCTGAAAAACGTTGATTAAAGGCATAAAAATGTAAATTTCCAGTTACCACGGACTCTAAAGCTGAGGAAATAAGTAATCTTTGGCAGCCATTTTCTCACTAATTTTACCTCTGAAAACAGATGACCCCACCTCCTTCATTCTCAAATATCTCGACTTGTATTCAAGTTAAATGGATACTTTTTTCATTCAAATGAAGACAACTGAACAAGCTTTAAGATGATACCAATAACTCTACATGCCCGAAAATTGACGAGAGCCTGATTCCACCACGCTCCCTCACATATGTCTTTAGGGCTAGATTATACCTCCACGACCAAAGCACTAGCCGCCGACAAGGACACGTGCATTAATAATACACTCACTACTGGCCTTAGAATAGTAACTCTCTGTACAGCCTGGAGGCCATAGCTATCGTATGGCAATTCCCCGATAAGCGACACCCAGTTTTGACACGGGAACTTTGCCGACAAGTGTTCGATTGTTCGACGTGATTTGTCGCAACCGGGCAGCAGCTACCTTTAAAGCTATTTCAAACAAGTTCTCTTGGCTAGAATACAAGACACAAGTCAGGAAAGGGGCAAACGAGTGCATAGATGGCCAAAGTTCTAAGGTTCTGGGAAGACACGTTATCTGACAAGTGATTCAGGCATGTTCATGTTGATATCATAGACTCGTGCCCATCATCTAACGGTACAACTCACCTGCTCACAATCATTGACCGTAGCATACCACAAGAGTGTGCCCGAGCTTTAATCAACTTCAGGACAACACGGTTCGAAATTGCCACAGACATAATTGGTCGCCTTTATTAAGCACAAGGAGGCTATCCCGAAAAATGCTGTTTTGAGAAAATCGAAGGTAAAGTTTTTGCCCCTTGTTCAGTTTCTTTAAAAGACAAGGAAAGTTTTATCTATATCTAGACAAATATACACACCAATGAAACCAAACTCCTCCTATGGGAAAGGCAATGCCCACTTTTGGTACATGTCAAGATTTCTGGAAACCACCGAAATCTGGGTTGGCCCGCCTGTCCTTAAAAGCTACCAATTATCTTCTGACCAATATTCACAATTTACTTCGGCTCTGTCGTAAGAAGTTGCTAGAAGACAAAGCATCACTTTTCATCGCATTACAGCGTGCCACCCACAAGCAATTAATGGAATGGTCGAGCGTTTTCACTGTTCACTGATGACAGCTTTGGAGACTCGGCTGAAGGTGCCTCAAAGGCAAGAGGAGCTGCCGTGTGTGCTGCTTGTACTGAGAACTGTTCCCAAGGAACACGTTCAAATGTCTGCCACAGAACTCGTTTACGGAGACGGCCATCGCAACTCCCTGCAGTGCCTGTTGTATGTGAGCTCGTTTAGGACGATAACTCCTGGCGACAAGGTCTTCCTTGTGGACACCAGGGCGCTGGAAGGCGCCACTGGTAGCTGGTCCTACTTCTTTACTTTCCCTCTGTCGTTTCTGTAACTCTGTCTTACTTTGTCCTTAGCACTAAAGGACCATTATTTTTTAAAATCGATTTGCTTCTCTTTACTCAAACAAACAAGCAAACTAACAAACAAGCAAACAGACAATCAAACAAATACACAAACACACAAACACACAGACAAACAAACAAACAAATAAATAAACATACAAACAAACAACAGGAGTTTCATCTCAATACAAAAGCAGGTCTTACAATGGTAAAGGACAGATTTTGTCACAACAGCGTGAATTTTCCGTATTTATTAGTACCAGAACCAAAATAAAACACCAAAAGCACTACCCAAGCATTTTTAATAAAAGGATTGAGAATAAGAATAAAATTCAAGGAAAGCATATTTATGACACTGAGAACGCCAAATGTGGGTAATCATTTTTTAAGCTGACCGAACCGGTGCATTTTGAAATTAAATTAAAATTAAATGTCTTAATCCGTTCACAGTTTTATGTGTCCACAGTGCTCGTAATGCATAGACACCGAAAGCATCAGAAGACTGTTCATGTGTTTGAGCATGCGATTGTTTCTGTTGAGTGGCAATGGTGTTTGCAGGTATTTGTGGTCGTATTTGTGAGCCAACAAATAGAATATGAAGGAATATGCATTCAAGTGTGCATTTGTTAGTGTTTGAGCGCGTGAAATCCGCAGCTTGCACTGCATGCTTCCCGGGAAGCTGAGAATGTTTCTGAGTGTTCTATGGTCTGCTGGGGTAATAATATAGTGTAAAGCGCATAGAGCTTGCTTTCGAGCGGGGTTATGCGCTATACAAATGCTATCTATCTATTATTATTAAGTGTGCATTCGTGTGAGAGAGTATAATATATTATGTATGCATGCATGTGTGTGTGTGTGTGTGTGTGTGTGTG